AGGATTACAGGCGTGAGCCACCGCGCCCGGCCTTTACTTTTTTACACACGGCTGCTGGAACATGAAAGTCACACATGTGGCCTGCACTGCGTCTCCACTGGCCAGCAGCGCTGGTCTGACAGAAACGCTGGGACAGGTGTGAACCACCCAGTTAAAGGAAGGAAAAAGGCCCTGGGAGTGAAGAGAGCTCCCCTCACAGGAACAAGTCTGCTAACGTGAACTGACTCACTGCTCCGCAGCACCCACGGGCTCCTTCTACCGGAGGCTCTTTTCTGCCCTCGCAGCCTGGCTACACGTTCTCAGAAACCCAGCAACAGTGCAAGAGTCCACTTCCCACACAATCATTCATTCTGGAGAGCTGAAGGTGCAGGAGGCCATGCAGGAAGAGGCAACAATGTCACATCCCTGCAGCCTCGAGGATGGTGCTTTTGGTGCCGTGCACTTTCAGAGTGATGAGAACAGCTCAGAGCCTGAGCTCATCTCATGCGTGAGAGGCCTGGCACAGGCCCAGCCCTGACTGGAAGGTACCAAGGGGAACCAGGCTGACATACCATCATACTGATCCCCACGGCAGCCTGGGCCCCAGCCCTGAGCCCATCTGAGAGGTTTTCAGTCACTGAGCGCCCCAGAAGTGCTGTGTCCGAGGAGAGGCGGTTAATCAATTCTCCTGTGCGGGTCTTGTCAAAGAAAGCAACTTCCTGCCTCAGAATGGAGGAGAATAATGAAGTTCTCAACCTATTCACAATGCGCTGAGAAATATTTTATCCTCGGCCTGATACTACGTATATTAGACCATGCCGGTCAACAATAGACAGGAGGCAGGATGGGAGTCCAGCAGGGGGGCCTGTTCTACTTCACACTGGCCAGCCACAGTTTTGTGTTCGAGTCTGGACCACCTCAAGGCACTGAGCAGCCAGAGCGACGTGTCCCACTGGAAGGACCAAGACAGCAAAGTTGCCCAACACCCCTACGCCACATAACAAACAGTTGAAGGAGGACTTGAGGGACACGAGTAACAAGTACAAGAGTTAGAGTTATTTTCATGGCTCCGTGGACTGAAGTCAGCAGGATGGATCTGGGCTCAACATAAAGGGAAGCTTCTAACAATTGGAGTTGCTCAAAGCATAACCCAACTTCTAGAAGTAACAGTGGGTTTTCCTGTCAACCCTGCAATTTGGTGATTGTATTTTAAATTGTCCTAGCATCTCTTCAACAAATTATTAAAAATCTGCCAAATATCAGTGGCACAGAAAATAGTGTAATCAGTACAAGCCTCTCTTAAATAATGCTAAGGAAAAGTTGCAAACTGAAATGTAAGGTGGTGGATAGATAAACCAACCATTCATTCATTTATTCATTCATAGGTTGTCACTGAATGCCTATGCACAGCAAGCACTATTCTAGGTACCTGGACGATAACCGACCCTCGTGGAGTTTTCGTGCAAGAAGAGAGGAGAGATGGGATTAGACAACAAACGAGAGAGAGAGAGAGAGAGAGAGTATAATTTCAGGTGTCCCACCAAGAGGGAAGAACAAGTGCACAAAGGCCCTGGGGCACAGAGGAGCCTGGCATCTCCATGGAGGAGCCAGCAGGAGCTTACAGGAATGATCCACTCTGAGAAGACGAGTCCATCAGGGTACCTGGGACGAGCCTTGGGGAGCACGGTCCTATCTCTGATGGTCACCATCAGGACACTTGAGACCAGCAGGGCAGGCCTGACAGTTCTGGGGCGTGAACACAACTGATCTCAAGTGGACCAACTGAAAAGCTGTCCTCTGTGGTAGGCCAGGCACAGTCCCTCAGGATTCTCCACAACCTCGGCGAATTGTTCCAGAGCCACGTTCCTCCCTTCACTCTGGTTCTGTGCTTAACAAATAACCTTCAGATGACTAATGCAGGGTCCTGGCACCAGAATGGAGTGTTCGGGATAGCAGAAACATACATCTTAATGGTAGGAGGGAAGGTCCACGATATAATCACTAAATTGGCAGTTATTGGCAAATTTTAAGTATGTCCAGAAAACTTTGGTATGTCAAACTACTTTTGCAACTGCACATTTTATGAAACCTCAATATAGATCAAGTATTTTCAATGAAAATTCAGCATCTGGATTTGCGATGTTCCATAAATATAAAACACACATCAGATTCTGAAATTCAGTTGACCCCTGGACAACATGGGTTTGTACTGCATGGGTCCACTTATATGTGGATTTTCTTCTACCTCTGTCACCCCTGAGACAGCAGGACCAACCCCTGTTCTTCCTCCTCCGCCTACTCAATATGAAGACAATGAGGATGAAGACCTTTACGATGATCCATTTCCACTTAATGAATAGTAAATA